AGGAGGAGGAGGAGGAGGAGGAGGAGAAGAAAAGGAGGAGGAGGAAGAAGAGGAGGAAGAGAAAGAAGGAAAAGAAAAAAATTAAACTTCCTGTATCATCTACAAATACATTTATTCCCAGGATGAAAAACTACCTATTCCCAAATGAAACAAAACTGAGCAGAGGCAATGGTCACAGGTTGTTGATCTACCAGCTGGGCTAAACAGGAGCTAAGCACCTCTGAGGCCTGCAGGCTGTGAGTCTCCATGCTCTCCTTCCTATTCCTAAGGGCACTGGCCATCTGTCAAGCCTCCCAGAAGAGGAAGGCACATGCCTGAATAAGGATGCCCAAGCCCTCAGGTAACTGCATGACAGCATTTCTCCCATGTTCTGCAAGCTCCTGCTACATCTCACTGAGAAGGAGCTTAGAGACACAGTGGGAGCTGAGGGTGGCAACTCAGGGGCTCAGTGTAGGGTAAGACAAGTGGTACTGGGCCTGCTAGACCCTGAAGTGGGGGTAGATGGGGACACTTCATAAATCTCTCTCAAATATTCCCAGTTCCACACAGCCTGGAGTGACCCTGGATATAAGCCTGGCCTCTCCAACAGGAATTCAGCTATCTGTTCCTGATTGCCTGATGGTTCTTGGGCACAGCCACATATCTCAGCTTCTTCATGACGGAGGGCCAGCCCAGCAGCTTCTGGTCCCACACATACTCTGGGGACAGCACCTTTGTAGGCTTGTGGTACAGCAGGTACTTGTTCAGATAGCTCTCATCATGCCAGACGGCCTCGATGCCATTGGCCTTGTCCTCCACCATAGCCTGATGGCAGGCCTTGGTGAGACGGTGTACCTCCACCACTGACCCCCCAAAGAAGCCTCCTGCATAGTAAAAGTCACCCTCGTCCCGGGGAATGTAGGCCTGGGACTTCGGCCGGCGCTCATAGGTAAAGGCCTCTCGGCTGCTTCTGTAGAAGCCAGGATGCAGGGTACCGAAGAGTGCTGAGAGAATCTCCACACCCACGTGGTCTTGGAACTTCATGTCCACATCTGCACACACCAGGTAGTCCACCTCCTGCAGAAAGCGCCGCTCGGAGAAGTGGCTGATCATCTCCATCCTGTGCATGGACACATCCTGCCAGCGGGAGTAGTTGCGCACGGTCAGCACCACCAGCTTCCG